GGCCTCCTTCCTGGAGGATCTTGGGAGAATTCTTTTTCTCCAGCTCTTCTAGAAGCTGTCTACCTTCCTCAGCTCTTCCCCACCTGCTTCCTCCACCTTCAAGGTCAAAGTGACAGGTCACATTTTGTTGCTTATCACATTATCACATTGTGTTGCTCTCCTTGTGTAACTGATTCTCTCTGATCCCTCTCCTGCCTCCCTGTTCCTTTTTTTTTTTTGGTGTGGAGGGGAGCGGGGTGTGATGTGGTACTGGGAATTGAACACAGACTTTGCACTGAGATGCATCCTCAGCATTTTTTTATTTTTAAATGTGAAACCAGGTTTTACTAAGTTGCCCAGGCCAGAAGAATATTGACTATTTAAGTACAAGTAATTGCCGTGTATTTTGGGACACATAAGGGTATATAACATCATACAGGAACAGGGTGACATCCTCCAAGGTAGACTAGTAAGTAAAGATGGAACCCTAAAGCAGTCACTGTACATTGAGAGAGATAGATTTTTACTAATAAGCCAACAAAGGAGACAGAATGGAATCATAAGTAAAATAAAATGACTCAAGGCAAAGAAGAAAAGGATAGATGGGACCAATGGCAAATACAAGACACACCTAAACCCAGGCATGCCAATAATCACATTATAAATCAAGCTTATCAGATAGGATTAAAAAGGAAGCCCAACATTATGCCTGGCAAGAAATTAATTTAGAATATAAAGACGTAAATACCTTAAAAGTAAAGGGATGGGGAAAGACACACCATACTGACACTAATCAGAAGGCTGGAGGGAATTGGTAGCAAAGATTTCTGAGCAAAGGATGTTACTCTAGATAAGGAGGCCAAGTCATAAGCATAAAAGGGTTTGCCAACATAACAATCCTAAATATTTATGCTCCTCATGTCAGTTTCCAACTATATGAGGCAAAAACTAATAGAAATGCAAGGAGATAAAGAAAAGAAATGCAAGGAGATATAGGTGAATCCAAAATTTTAATTGGAGATTTTAACACCCTTTTGCCTGAAACAAGTAGGCAGGAAATGAATAAGATACTGAAGATTTGAACAAAATCATCCAGCTAGACCTAATGGATGTTTACAAGGTCCTTCACCCAACCTCAGCACCATGACTTTTGTCTGTGTTACAGCTTGTGTCTAGGTGTCCCCCCAAAGCCTCATGCAGTCATAGGTGGGGCTTTTCAGAGGTGGATGGATCTAGAGTGTGTGATGCTGGGATTCATTCATGGTGCGATGCTAGGCTCAAGGGTGCTAGGATTAAAGGTGTGAGTGCTACCTGCCCTAAGTAGCCTGGATAATATAGAAGGGACAGAAAGAACTGTGGTCAGCCTTTGTTTGATTTGCTACCTTCTGCCCACTGTGAACTGTTTCTTCTCTGCCATATCTATCTCCCGTGCCACCCTACCTTGGAGCCAGCCAACTATGGACTGAAACTTCTACAGTGACTAAATAAACCTTTCCTCTCTTAACTTGTGGGTATTAGGTATTTTGTCTTAGCAACGAGAAAAGTAACTAAGACACTTAGTGTACACAGTGCAGCTGTGAAGATCACATGCTGGACCAAAACCAAGTTTTAAAAAGGATTCCAGCCTTTTGTTCTCTTACCACAATAAAACTAAATAAGAAACCAGTAACAGGAAGCTTTCTGAAAAGTACCCTCAGATTCGGAAACTACACATTTTTGAGTAACCTATAGGTCAAAGAAACAATTCAGAGGGAAAAATATTTTGAACCAAATTAAAATGAAAGCACAGCATACCAAAAATTTGGGGATATCCCTAAGGTGGTATTTGAGGGGATGACTGTAGCATTAAACCCTGTGAGAAATAATAATAAGAAGAAGACCAGATTAGCCCAAAGTAAGCAGAGGAAAATAAGTAATAAGGATCAGAGCAGAAACTGATGAAATAGAACACAGGATGGCCAACCACAGACTGCAGCCTGGCTACCTGTTTTGTAAATTAAATTTACAACAAAAAATCCAGGCCTTTTCATGGACAAATGGTCTATAGCTGCTTTAACAGTTTTTGCAGAGTAGAAAATCTGTGATAGATATTACCTGGCCTAAACACCTAAGATAATTCTTTTTTTTTTTTGGTACTGGGGATTGAACTCAGGTCTTTGCACTTGCAAGGCAGGTGGTGCAGCACCACTGAGCTAAACCCCCTGCCTAAAACCTAAGATATTTTCCATGTGCCCTTTATAATATGTTTACTAACAATAGACAAAGTGAGGAAGACAAAAGGTTGGTTGTTTTTAGATCAATGAAAGTAATAAATGTCTGACAAGACTGATGAGGGGGGAGAAGGAAGAGAAAGAACGCAAATTACCAAATTGCTACTTTTTCCATATCTAAAGAGTTATACAGGGCCGGGGATTTAGCTCAGCGGTTCAGTGGCCTGCCTTGCAAGCACAAGGACCCGAGTTCAATCCCCAGTACCAAAAAATAAATAAAATAAAATAAAATAAAATAAAATAAAATAAAATAAAATAAAATAAAATTTCATACAACTAGAGATTTCTCAGGTAACTTTAGTCCAATGTGTTCAATAACTCAGATGAAACAGAAAAGACACAAAGTACCAAAATTTGCTCCTGAAAGTAAACTTATACAGGGCATTGAATTTGTTGTTAACCAGACCACCCCCTCAACCAAAAAACAAAACAAAACCAAAAACCCTCTGGGCCTAAGTGGCTACACTAATGAATTCTACCAAATGCTTATGAAAGAAATAATAGAAACCCTATATAACTTGAAAAAGAAATGGAAAAGGAGGGAATCCTTCACTACTTATTTTGTTAGGTCAGCAGAACCTCAAAGCCAAAGGCAAAAAAGACATTATGGGAAGAGAGACCGAAGCCCATTACTCCTCACGAGTAGAGAAGACCTTAATAAAACTGAATCCAGCAATCTATGAAGAGGATAATATATCATCATCATTGTGATTTGTCCCAGGAATAGAAGACTGCTTTCACATCAATGTACAGTGATACTTCGGTTCATAAACTTAATTTGTCCCACAATTCTGTGGAAAATGGCTACATTTGTACTGGTTATCCCATGTGGAGTTCACAAATGGAAGCAAAAATTTGCCTTTTTCTGCTGAAAATCCCCGAACAGAAGCATTCATGAACTGAGGCATTGCTATTTCAGCAAAGCACCATGCTGAAAAAAAACTGTATGATCATTTCAGTCAATGCAGAGAGGGTATTTGACAAGCCCAATATCCCCTGCGAGTAAAGCTCTCGGGTAACAGTTCTAGTTTCGAGACAAGAAGATACTTCAGTCTGATTAAGGACATCTATAGTGGATGTAATTAAAGATGAAAATCTAAATGCTTTTGCCACAAATATGGAAAAATGCAAGCATGCTTGTTCTTGCCACTTCTAGTCAATTTCTAGTCAACATTGTATTCAGTGTTAATCGCACTGCTCTGTAAATAGAAGCTACCCAGATTGGAAAAGGAGTAAGATTCTCTTTGGGACATGCTGGCAAGCCAAAAGAGAAAGAGTAGGCTTTTCGGAATACTACAGGAACATGTACCTGCAGGAGAATGAACTTCAGTTCAGACCTTGGACCAGGCACAACTGGTGAATTTTAAAATGAGAAATTCAAGATTAGGTACAAAAGCAAGTGCTAAGGGTAGAGGAGGGGCAGTAATGAACCCCTGGAGCAGGGTCTCTATGTCCCTTTCTTCTCAGCTGACTAGCTTCTTGAAACCCTTTTCCAGAACTCATTCCAGCTTCCCTTCCCCAGTGTCCCTAGTGTGCTGTCCTCTTCTGCTCTGCATTTGCAATGGCTTTGCCCCACTTCCAACCCTCCTGCCTGGCCTCCCGGCCTCACTCAGGCACCTGTGGCCAGCACGAACCCCTTCCTCCTGGGATCCACCCTGCAGGGAGCTCCTGAGCAGCCTGGCCCAGATGAATGCCACCCCTTTGGTGGGTGGCTGGCTGAGAGACCAGTGCCAGGACCTAGAAGCCCTGGTCTCTCCAGCAAGAAGTGTATTACTTGGTGCCTCAGTTTCCTGGTCCATAAACTGTAGGTGTTGGGCTGGCAGTGGAGCCCAATGGAAGATGTACAAATGGTGTGGAATCTGTGGGGCAGTCCCAGCATGCGGCAGTTCCCAGGAAGCATTGGTTCGTGTCTGGGTTCCATCCCTGGGCCCAAGCTCCTATACGGACCAGCTTGGGTATCAGCGAACCCCCTAATCACACTTGAGAACTCGACCCACCAGCAGATGATCCTGGCTGGGATCTGCGGTGATGGAACCTCAGCAAGGAATAGTGGGTTGCCAATTATGGGTCTGGAGGGTGGCTGCAGAGACACAGATGCCTTCTTAGCAACCCATCCAGCTGCACATAAAGTTCTGCAGAAATGGTGCACGCACATTTTGAAGATGCTTGCAGACTGCAGAGCCGCACAGTTGCTGGTGGGGAGGTGGCTCCAAGTAGCGTCTGCTGCCTTAGCCCCAGTGCCCAGCCAGATGTGGATACAGGGACAGTGTTTGTTCCTGAGCTCCCTCTGGGTTTAATGTCCAAGCTCTGTAGTGCTCCTATCTGCAGGGAATCTGCTTTCGCCTCCAGGATGGGGCACAGGGGTCAGGGGAATCACTCCAAGGACATGGTGATATTGAACTGTCCCTTTGAGGTGGGTGACACTGATCTACAACAAAGCCTGTAATGAGGCTCCTTTGGCGAGCCCCCTGAAATCTGGATTTTTTTTTCTAATAGTGCTCTAGGATGCTTTTCAGCATTTCTGTTTTGATATGAAAAAATAGCAAAGTGGGCCGGGGATTTAGCTTAATGATTCTGCCACCTGCCCTGCAAGCACAAGGTCCTGAGTTCGATCCCCGGTATACCAAAAAGAGAAAATTGAGAGAAAGGTGTATAAGGCTGCAGGAGGCTGAGGTGACTGGAAGCTGCTGTGTGGGGAGCCGCTGTCCTGCACGCATGGCCTGAGCTAAGCCTTGTCTCCCTGTCTTGCAGGTGGTGCCAGGGAGCGGGAGAAGGCACTGGCCGGCCCTGAGGCGCTCCTGCTCATGGCCAGCTCCAGGAGGGACATGGAAGACTGGGTGCAGGCCATCCGCCGGGTCATCTGGGCCCCGCGGGGTGGAGGTACTACCCATAGCTCGCGTGCCCGCCCTGTAGAACCCTTGCGTAAAGGTAATCTCACCCCCTCCGCCCTCAGCCACCAGGTCCTTGCTGGGGATTTGCTGGCCATATCACTGACATGTGACACAGCCTGACCCCTTGGCTGTAGCCCTCGGGTGACACCTCACACCCTGTGCCAAACCTGGCAGGGGACATCAGTTCTGCTATGTGGACTGTGTTCTGTGAGTGGCTTTAGAGACCTTGCTGCCCCAGGTCTGGTCCCCTGCTGCTGCTACACAGGAACCCCGCCCTGTCCCCATACCCACTCCCTGTCCCTGATCTGAAAACCATGCTTGCTCTTGACTTGGTTCTTTAATGTTGTTATTAGGAGAGGAAGAGACAGGGAGAGAGAGAGAGAGAGAGAGAGAGAGTTTATGGTGCCTAAAAGGTGCTAGGCTCTATTTCAGGCAGCAGAAACTCAGTAGTGAGCAAAACTCTCCCCTCTTCTCCCTTCTCTGTGGGAGACACCTGTAGACACATACTGTACCCTCTGACATCCAGGTGCGAAGACATAGGGAAGCCAAACAAAACCTCACTGGGAGACAAGGGGTTGATGCTGGCTCAAGGAAATACCCAAGGAATCCAGGGCTTGCTGGGGAAGAGCAGCAGAACAGGGACTGCAGGTACAAAGACCCTGAGGTAGGAACTGAACTGTAGAAAGAGAGAGGTGACTGGGCCTTGGGCTCTGTAGGATTTCTGGAGTGCTGAGCAAGACACAGATGGGACCTGATCTCATTTATACAAAACCCTCAGGTCACCATGTACAGAGTGGCCATGGAGAGCCATGAGTGGCCTCAGCAGGCCAGGACAGTCATGGCTCAGGTGTCGATGGAGACATGGCAGGTGGGAATGGAGGGGATGGTGCATAGTCAGCTGCAGGTGAATTCCCAGGATGGTTTGCTGCCCTGGGAGGTCATCATGAAAGAGCTTCATGATGGGGTCACCGTGCTGAGGACAGGCCTGCAGAGCTGGCCAGGCAGTATGCTGCACCTTCCTCTGCTGGTCATCTGGACAGCCCTCCTATCCATCCCGACTGCCTCTGGCAAGCCCTGAGCCCCTCACACAGAATCCAGTGCGGCCTTGACAGCTACAGGTAGTTTTCCTGAGCTTCGGAACAGAAGTCACACAGTGATCCTGGACTCCCTGGGCCCTGACAATCACATGTTTGGCTCACAGCCTTGACACAGAGGCCTGAGAGGACCAAGGACTCCTGCAGCCTCCCTGCAGCTGGACTTTGAGTCAGGACAGGAGGCTCGAGAGCATACAGCATCATCATGATCTTGGGGTGGTGAGATTTTTCAAATGACTGTTGGACAGTGCTAATCTTTTTTTTTTTTTTTTTTTGTACCGGGGATCGAACTCTGGTCCTTGCACTTGGGAGGCAGGCGACACAGTGCTAATCTTTTAGGCAAAGATTGATGAAACCCAACAGGAACAGTATTTGCTCTCTAGAGGGTAAATTAAGATCTAGAGAAGGGGAGCTACAGGTTGGGACAGGTGGATAAAACGCAAACCCATCAAGTACCTCTGTCCCCCAAGTCATCCAAATCAATCCAGCAAAGACACACAAGCCTGGGGAAACCCGGGCAAGTCCCTGTACAGGCACTGTGTTAAAGAAGCCAACAACAGTCACGACTCAGCCTCTGGTCACCAGGGAAGTGCCAGTCCAGCCGCAGTTGGATGCATCTTCTCACACACCCAGGGACTCCACGCAGAAGAGGAACACTTGTCAGTGAGCCAAGGCCCAACACAGCAGAATCTTGCAGGGAGAGCTTGGCAGTGTGTGGCTCCATCGGTGCTGCCCACACCAGGGTCCAGGAGCCTGCAGGGGACGTGTCCCTACGGACCCATGTGCACAGCCGTGTGGGGGACCTGGGCATCTCAGTGTGCACGGCAGCTTTGTGTGTGACAGCCTGGAGCTCATCCGGGAGCAAAAACAAGACAAACACGTGATGCTGATGCCACATGGTTTCTCTTACACGAGAAACCCGAAAGACAAACAATTTACAGAGTAAAACAAGTGACAGACAATAGGAAAAAATACAATAGGAGACTCTACAGCAATGCCAAGGAATCCACTACGTCTCTACTCAGCAAGCAGCATCTGTGAAATTGTAAAACGTGGAGCTAAAATCCAAACAAGCAAAAAATAACATGCTTTATGGTGCCATTTATATAAAGCAAATGAAAGAAGTAAACCTTGTCATTTATGGATAGTTAGGCAGCAGAAATAGAAGGAAAAGTAAAATAATGAATACAGTAAAACTCAGGATGGCAGGAAAGAGGACAGAGGCTAGGAAGGAGCAGGGAGGGCACAGGTTTCTGGAATGTTCTCTCTCCTGACCTGGGTCGCAGTCACACAGGTGTGTGTTTGACATTAGCGTACACATCTGCACATATATGCTATGTAAAAGATCAGAAGGAAAAGGAAGGAAGGAGGGAGGGAGAAAATAAGGAGGGAGGGAAGGAAGAAGGAAGGGAAGGGAAATAAGGCAGGATAAGAGGAAGGGAAGGAAAAAGGGAAAGGAATGAGGAGAAGAGCAGGAAAGGAAGGGAAGGAAAGAAAAGGAAGGTAGGAAGGAAGGAAAGAAGAGAGAATCCACGCGTCCAAGCGGAAGGGGAGCAGGGAGGCTGACTCCCAGCCAGGCCTGGCACCAGCCCCACAGCATGTCCTGAGTAGCACCCAGTGGGGGACCCTCTCCCAGGTCCTCCTGTGATTGGAGTTTGGTGGCCAGGCTCAGTCAGGCAGGAAGATCACAAGTGCCAGCCCAACCTGTGCAACTTGGAGACTTAGGGAGACTGTGTAAAATAAAGCAGTAAAAAGGAGCTAGGGATGTTGGTCAATGTGAAAGTCTTGGGTTCTATCCCCGGTTCCATAAAAAAGAAAAAGAAAAAGAGAGAGAGTTGCTATTAAGAGAGCAGCTTTGGGTCTGATCTGCAGACTTCTATGCCTGGTTCAAGGAACACAGCCCTGGGAGGGTGTGTCAGGCGGCTCCTCATGCGTGCTCTCTATGACAGCGATCCTGTGTGTGTGCTGGTCCAGAGAGGCAAAGGCCTTGCTGGGTACAGGGGTAGTGCAGGCTTTGGTCTGACTGTGGTCTGGCACTGCCACCTGCTCGCTGTGTGACCCTGGGTGCACCACTTCCCCTGTCTGTGCCTTCAGGTCCTTGTTGGCAAAATGCGAATAGTGTCTGCTCTGCAGGATTACCCTGAGTGTGGAGACAGACAAAGGACGCCAAGTGCTCGGCCCTCCCTGGGTACTAAATGGTCCTCATTCAGACACAGGCATCTGCCAGGTGCAGCAGGGCACAGCGGGGAAGGAGACACACAGAGCTTCTGTTCTGCTCTCTGGGACAGACAGACACAGGAAGGGAGGGCAGGCGGAAGGGAGGGCAGCTGTTCTGGATGGTGCAGGAGCCTCAGGGTCACCCAGAGAAAGGCCTGATAAAGCTGAATGCTAGCTGGGTGTGGTGGTGTAGGCCTATAGTCCCGACACCCTGGGAGGCTGAGGCAGGAGGATTGTATTGCCTAGCCTAGCCTAAACAACTTAACGAGAACCTATCAAACAATTTTAAAATAGGAGGGCTGGGGATGTATCTTGGTGTGAAAACCCTGGGTACAGCTCCCACTACTCCCCCCAAAAAGCCAGATGCAGGCCCCATCCAGGATAGTAACTGATTCTTAGGGCGGGGCAGGCCTGGGGATCACATTCTGGGCATCCCTGGGTTTAGGAGGTTTATATGCAGAGAAGCAGTGGGGAGGCAGAGTGAGCCAATGAGAGTGATATTTGGACTCCCAAGGTTTTCTTTAAATCAGAGTGTCTTCTATTTCATTACTTTTTATTGTGATAAAATACACACTCCCGAAAATGTCACATGTCAACACTTTTTAAATGTGCAGCCACCCCGCCCTGCTCTGTGCGGAAACACACACTTCCTCCCTCCGCTCTATGCCTGAGGCTGCTCCTAGTGAGCCACCTGCTCTCTCTCCCTGCACCTGGCTGCTCCAGGGACTGCGCACAAGTGGAATCACGTCGTGTTTGTCCTCCGGTGGCCTGGCTTATGTCTTTCGGCCTGATGCCCTCAAGGACCATCCTCCTTGTAGTGGGTGTCAGGCTTTCTTTCCTTTTTAAAGGCCGAAAATGTTCCATCCATGGTACCCATCACTGTGAGTCTGTTTATCCCTTGAGGGACACTTGGGTCACTTCCACCTTTGGGCTGCTGTGCATGATGCCCTTGTGAACACGAGTGTCAGAGTCCCTGCCCTCAGCTCTTTGGGGCACATTCCCAGAATTGGGGTTGCTACTTAATGTTTCATTGTCTTGAGGATCTGCACAACCTTTTTCCCTATGGCTGGGCTGTTTTACACCCCAACCAGTGCCCGAGTTTTGGCTTCCTCACCTCTTCCCAGCCAACATCCTCTGCTTCTGGCTTTTGGGTTGATAACACCATCCTGAGGATGTGAATTGGTGCCACTCTTCAGACACGTGTTGGGCTGCTGACAGCCCAGCAGAAGAGTGGCAGGTGGACACTCGATGGGGCTGTCGACGGGCCATAGTGTGGTAATAAGGGACACCAGGTGTGGCTTCCCAAGGCCTGCACTTGCCTGTAAGGTGTGCATGGTCCTCTCCATCGTGAGTGGTGAAGATGCTCCTGAGCCCCACTGGATTTGGCTCTGCAGGAGTGGGGGACCTCTGATGGGCTGGATTTGCGATGCTGTGGATCATTAAGCCACCAGAGGCATGAACCTGGGGTCCTGGAGAGCCTGAGAGGGGGTCAGCACCTGTCATGAGGTGCATGGCAGCTTTCTGCTTCTGAGAGTGGGCACTGTGGAGCACAGTCCACCTCCCTCAGGGCCCAGAGTGACTGCTCTATGCTGGGGAGCAAGGAACGCCAGGCAGCAGGCCCACAGGGATCCCTAGAGCCTCACAGCTCCAGCCTCCCTGGCCTCCTCACTTTCCTTAGAACCCAGTCTGCTGACTTTGTGTGGGGAGGGAGGCACCCTGAGTTGGA